ATGAGAGCTCCGTGGGGCTTTACTCTGCACCTCTGGGCCCCCCGAGCATGAAGCAGTGTCTGGCACGTAACAGATGCTCAGTAAGTATTTGCTGAGTGGATGGATGAATTCATTTGTGCTTTCATTTCAACCCCATACATTTTAAAAGTTATAGGAAATAACCAGTCACCATGGACTCACATCGTCCTCCAATTACCCCCATTTCACAGATGGGTAAAGCCTCCACAGAGGCAGGGGCCTCAGGACGGTGCAGAGGTTTGCATAGAAGAAGCATGATTTGAAACTGGTCCCCAGGAACTCCAGCCTTGCCAGCACGTCTCAGTCCCTCTGGCCTATACCCTCCCCTCCCCCTTCCACCTGGCCTCAGCATCTCAAGGAGTCCTTTGTCCTTTGAGGAGCTCAGAGCTCCTGAGGCGTCCTCCTTGGAACAAAGGCGTGGAGGAGTGGGGGCTGCTTGGGGTGGCTGGTGGGGGCTCCAGAGGCCCCAGAAGAATGTGCTCCTTTGGGAATGACTCCATGGGGTCAGTCTCCTCCAGCCCAAAGGAGGGGGCTGTAGTAGTGGGGACAAAGTCTGCAGCCACGGCACATAGTGGCACTGGCAGGGCAGTCCTGGAAGTCCTCCAGCTCCCTCACCAGCTCCTGTCCCAGGGCTGGTGGACCTGAGGGCTCCAGCCCCAACAAGGGGGTCTGAGAAGCAGGCATTCTCACCACTCGCTGGAGGGCAGGAGGAGAGACCACCAAGAGCCCAGTACTGACCATATATTAGGAGAGTAGGGGGTTGGGAGGAGGGGGCAGGGAACATGAAAATCAGCCTCCCTAGCCTCTTTTCACCCTCTTATCAAAAAGCAGCCAAAGATGCTTTGCACAGCCTCTGCCCTGGGCGGGGACAGAGCATTTATCCAGTGATGACTGCATCCAGGGCACAGAGTCAGGCAGGGAGAACAACACAAATCTGGCCCTTTAAACCTGAGAGACCCACATTGGACCTATGCCTTGCCACGGGCAAGCTATGTAACCTCAGGTAAGTGGCTATGCCTCTTTGAGTTTCATTTGTATCACCCAGTGGGGACTGAACCTTCTTGGTCTGTGCCGAGCATGACTGAATCCTCACAGTCCTGGGAAGGGGAACTACCAGGCTGTCCAGGTGACCTTGGTCAAATGGCTTCACGTCGCCACAGCTCAGCCTCCTCCTCTGGAAAATGGGATTCATAATAGGGCCCCCGCATCCTCTGCCGTTAATATAACTCATCAGTGCAAGCAAAATGCTTAGATGAGGCCCCTGCATATAGCAACTATCACGTGGGTGTTTCATATTATTATTAGCTAATAAAATAAATAATTCTATTTTGTAAAGTGAGAAACTGTGGCACATAATGCCCTCAACAGCAGCTGACAGGCACTGAATGTTTGCTCAGAGCAGCCCCTTGTGAACTTTTAACTGCATTTAATCCTATATCTCTACGCAGTGATGCTAAATTTGACCCCATTTTGCAGATGAGGAAACTGAAGCTTGGAGAGCAGCTGCCCAGCCAGTAAGCAGGGTTGAGAGCTGATGGGATGTTGCCACGTAGCTTCTACCTTTCCCTCTCGCCTCGCATATGATAGAGCAGAGCTAACACCCCTGCCCGCAAAGGCCATCGGGGTAATTCCAGACTTAGGTTCCATTTTCTTCTGGGTCCCCACACTCTCTCGAAAAGTAAGGTGGCCACAGATAAAAACACAGCCCACCAACATCTTAACTGCAGTCCTTTGAGTCCCTGAGCTAAGAGCCTCTCCGCTCATCCACTCTGGGAATCTGAGACCCACCGCTTCCAGAAACCTTCCTCCTCTTCACACATACATAGCCCAGATGACCCCTGACCCAGAATGACTTTAAAAAGCTCCCACTGGAAGCTCTGAGGGGTCCTAAAAGGACATGAGGACATGACATCTTTACTTCTCCACTACCTTTCTTCTCCTTTCTCTCCCAAGAGCTGACCCATCACTGACTGACAGGGACCCTCCCTGGCTGGAAATGCCTTATAAACTTGCTGTGGGTTGAGGTTTCTGAGAACTTGCAGTCATGGGTTACCTGAAGCCTGTGGTTCAAGGAGTGAAGATGAAGCATCACAGATGTGATCCGGGGGCCTTGGTCACCTCACTCTTGTCACTGCAAGAACCACTGGTGCCACTCCACTGTAATGAAGAAAGAATTGAGACCCAAACTAGTATCTCTCAAAAAAGAGTTAAAATTTTCTACCATATTCAGCCCATAATCTTTCTCTGGAGAATGAGATTCTACTAAGGTTGCAAAATGGAAATTCACTTGGCGTCTGACCACCATGGATTCGTGGCATATCTCCCCTTGTCTGTTGTGGGCTGAACAAGCTGCCACCCCACTAATCTGAATAGGGCCAGGTCACCAGTCACTGACAATGGCCCTGGAATTGTCAGCACCAGCTGAAGGAGGGAGCCACTCTGGGGTGTGCAGTACAATCTGGATAAGATGGTATTTCTAATGTGGAAAGGCTGAACTTCCAGGTACACTGCCTGCTGCTGGAGACTCCCCTGGCCCTCCCCAGGGCTGACATGGCCCCCAGGGCTGAAGCCTCAATATTGCATGTTCCACCCACCCCCAATGATCTGCCCATCTGTGTTCTTTTCAGTTCCTGTGCCCTCTGAAACTTGAATTCATTCACTCATTCATCTCACACCAACCTGAAGTCTCCCAAATGCCCACACCCAATACTCATCATTCTTTCACCTTTCTTCCCATCCTTGGGTACTGAATATGATCATACACCACTATTGCTTTGAACAGGAGACCTTTAAATGTTAAAGAGATCTTTAAGCTCCTCCAAATTAAAGTGAATATAGAGTCCTCAACTTTAAAACCTTATATTCTGACAAGTATGCCATTGCATATAGAAAGAAAACCTTGGCAGCTAAAGGGAAGAAATACAACACAATATTGGTCAAATTAGGGTTGATTTATATGCTGGGATGAATAGGATGAACTCCTATTCATCCTTCAAAACCCCACCTGGACATAACCCACTGGAGGAAGCCTTCCTCAAGCCTCCCATTGGGGTTCATGAATCTAAGAAAGTGACAGCCATCCTTTGTATTACTGTGAGTTACTGGGCATAGTCTCCTCACTTTTGACTATAAACCTAATTATCTATCTTTTCTTCCATTCTCTCCCTTTGTATTCTGTGAGTATTTTAAGGATAGGGTAAGCCTTGATGTCAGTCACAGCTGGGCTCAAAACTTCTCTCTAAGTGTACATCCTTGGGCATGTCATCTCCCTGAGCCTGTTTCCTCTTGGCAAAACAGGGATGATGCTGACCTGGCACAAGTTTGTTGTGAGAATAAAGTGTATAAAGTGCATCGTATAGTGTATAAAGTGCATAAAGTGTATAAAGTGCATTGTACAAAGTTTAGTCCTGAGTTCATGACAGTTTTATTACTTGAATCCTAGTTGCGTGGCACGTAGCAGGAGTTCAGTAACTTTGTTTATTAAGTTAAAACAAAACAGTTTGAATTCCCTACCCATGTCCTCTGGTTTTTGTAAGGAATAGGGACCCACATCTCTGACTTTCAGTGAAGCAAATCTCTCTCCTGGGCACTCGCTCTGCAGGTGGATCTTGAGGAATTCTTGCAGGAGAATGCTTTCCCTAATTCAGTGCAACCTGGGAAGTTTGTCCTGCCTGATGTCAACAGGAGAGTCACCCAGGCATTTAAAGGGACCTAGCTCCATCTGCTCCCCCTCTGTGCCCAGTGCTGATCTCAGTTGTCTGACAGAAATAGGCTCTGTACTTCCAGCCGCTGACAAAAATGAGGCTCAGAAAAAGGACATTGTCCTGGAGTCCAGGTGATGCAAGAGTCCGCTTGGAGTCCAGACTCAACATCAAAGCATTGGGTGATAATCTTCCAAAATGTGTCCTTTTCTTCTGAGATGGAGAATTTTCTGGAAGTAATTAAACTTTGGACCAGTTTAATGCCAGGCAGGGTTAAGGAGAGGGGATTCCATTAACATGCTGTGTCCATATGGTGCTTGCAGGGTGGAGTCCCAGCAGAGATCTCTGTGGAATGGTGTGCTGTTCATCTCCACACTGATGAGACCACGCTTCAGTGAATCTGCTGTTGCCACCTCTGTCTCTTGCTTCAAATTGGTGTTGGATCCACCTACAGTAGCACCTTGAGAAAAGGTCATTGTGCCTGTTACAATGATGGGGAAAGTGAGCTTGAAGGGTCTGACTCAGCAGCAGTCTAGCAAGAGGCCTATAACCTGGAGATAACAAGAGTCCTTAAGAATTTCTGTGTCATGGGTCTGTGGACTATACTTTGAGAAACACTGAGAGGTAGTGGTGTGAAAGGAAGAAGCAGGGATGGTTTCTCAGCAGCCCTAAGCCTGTGGCTCCAAGTGGCAGCGTGAAGCTCCTGCCCAAAGGGTGGCCAGTGGGCAGTCAGAGATTTTACAGGCCCTGGACCCGAGTAGTCCTCACTGCAATCTTCAAACTCAATATTATTTGCTCTATTTTAGAGACAAGAAAATGGAGGTGGAGATAAACTACTTGCCCACAGCCCTTGGCTATAATCAGAGGAAGCACATCCCACCCAGAACAACCTGATGCCAGGGTGTCGTTAGAAGTGATACAAGCTGACGAAGCAATGACAGTTTCAGGGTACGAAGACCTCCTCCTTGTGGAATCCAACAACCCTGCAAGTTAGACCCATCCCAGAGAAACTGCCTAATTGGCAGGAAGTTAGAGTTCACAGGCATCTGAAACTTAACTCTTGACCCAAAACCGTCATCTGGGTGGTCTCCCCTTAATCCCTCCTTCCTGCACTAATACCAGTGGTCTAGTACCTGGGCAGGGGTGGGGAAGGGGGTGTTATGTCCCCCAAGGGATACTGAGCCATGTTTCTGATTGTCACCAAGGAGGCGGGGAGGGAAAGAGGTGGTGCTGGCACACAGTGGGTAGATGATGCTAAACATCCTACAACGCACAGGACTTCCCTCCCACCGACACCACAAAGAACTACCCAACCCAAATATCAGTGCTGCCTGTGGTGAGGAATTCTGAGATGACCCAACAGGATAGCATCAGGCATCAACACACATATGCACATGAACACACGTGCATGCACACGCATACACACACACACACACACACACACTGAGCATCCAGACCTACACTCCCATCCTCTGTGGACCCATGGAAAAGGGGGAGCAGGTGGGGGGAAAGCAAGCCCCACCCACAAATGTACCACAGTCACCATTAACGTCATATTTATTGTTATTTAGCTGCTCAGGAAAACATATACAGGTATATACAATATGCATGAATACAGAAGACTGCACTTTACATATTTTTTTAAAAAAGAAAGAAAAAAATAACACTCAATTTCATGAGCTATTGTCACAGTCTTCCAACCAAGCATTTCAGAAATGAATTTCTTTTAAGAGTCAAAAAAGATTACAGGATTGCCTAACACACAGCAGAGTTAAGTTTTCATATTTTACATGTGCAATAACATTTTCTTTTTCTTTCCCGAAGAGTTTGCTATGCAGTACCGATTACCAGTGTTTGGAGCCTCATGGGTTGGGTATGTTTTTAATTTGCTTTTATTCTTTCCATTAAACCAAATTTAATGAAATAACATCCTTTTGCTTAAGGCTATTTTTAAAGCTGTTCCATTCTGGGGTCACGGGGAGCGAGAAAGTTTCAATCTTCAGGGGGTTCCGAGGTTGCTAGACCATGAACTGGTGGCCACGTGTTGATGGACTCAACACAGGGAAAGTCAGAGACAGAAGTCACAACACTTTGCTCCCCGGCCTTAAGCAATTAAGGAAAATCATTCCTTTTTAAAAAATAAAATGACGAAGCTCTCAAATAGCTGTACATTGCAGAATCAGAGGGGGCATGGAGTTTTGCTCGATCTATGACCGATTCTCCTGCAGCCCATGGCAGGGGGTATGTTTTCTCCACTTTGCTTTCCTTTGCAGGCAGAGCACAGGAAAGGAGTCAGCTCACACCCTCTTACTGATAAATTCACACCACCTGCTCTGCTCTGTCTGCCCTCTGTGGGCCCAGGTCAGCCCCTGGTCAGACTGCCCATGCCAGAACCTCAGACCTTCCCGGGTCAGGCTCCAGCCGAATAGACTGACCAAAGGAAAAAAGAGGAGAGGGGAGAATTTTCTGGATGCTCTCCTCCCTTTGCTGAAAAGCTCTTTGAAATAAACAATGTGGGTGTTGTATGGTGAGCCCAAAGCCTTCAGGTCACTTGCTAAAAAAAAAAAAGCCAGGTCTGCAAACTCCAGGGATATGGGGGGTGGGGTGAGGGGAGCTCAAAATGGAGCACTTAGTAAGACATGCTCATTAACAAAAACTGAAACAAAACATGAGTCACTGATTTGGGTGAAGTGATATCAGTCATTTCTTGCATTTCTTGTCTGACCCGCCCTGGAATCCTAGTGCCCCCCCCCACCCCCATGAGTCATACAAGTCCTTTGTAGGCACCAACAGCACCCAAAGGTGCCGGTCCCTGCCAACACTGAGACTCCGGTGACTACCGCTCTGGGAAGAGCAGCTAACAGGCCTCCACTGGGTCCAGGAGCCTCCCTTTCCACCGCCCTGCTCGCCCAGTCACCCCCATCTCTGCTCAAGGGAAAATTTTTCCTTCGTGAAGTGCAAGGGACATGGCTCTTGTTTTGCAACAAGGTGAGATAAAATCAAAGTGGAGAGAAGTTACAGATTAAAAAAAAAAGTCCCAGTAATCAAAATCATTACTTATATTCCCTTTCTCCCTCCTCTAGCCATAGGGAGTCTGCAAACCCCTGCAAAGAACTACACCCAGTCTCGGAGAAGGGGGTCTGGAGGCTGAGTTGGAGCAGGGGGGTGCTCTTTCACCGAATGAGCCCTTGGAAAGTACTGGAGAAAGCCTCATTCCTCCCATGGATGGGGGCTTGTCCAGGGTTGAGGCAGGAAATTAGAGGACCAGGGACAGCATGAAAGAGATGAGGGAGACAGACCCTCTCCTCTCCTTCTGTCCTGGGGTTGCCAGGCTGGAAACAGTTGTCTGAAAGGGTCAAGGACTAAAAAATCATCCTCCCCCAACTCTGGCACCCAAGACCTAGCCGGCCAGGCTGCAGCAAAGGCAGGAGCCTGGAGCCCCCTGAGACTCTGCAGGCTATAAGGGCACCATCCCCCATCAGACCAGGGCTGCTTAGCATAGCATGAAAATTCAGAGCCTGGGCATTTGTGCAGAGACCCAGAAAAGGAGAGAAAACACTTCTGTCGAACATTCCGACTCCTTCCCACAGAGCAGGCTGGACACGTCATCACCTCCATTGCAGAGGGCAGCTTCCAGCAGGAGAACGGAGCTGGAGGCTGAGCGAGTGTTTGTGAGAACAAAAATATATATCTCTATTTTCTTAGGGAACAGACAAAACAAAATCCCAGGCGGAATACCTAAGGGGGGCATTAATTGTTTGGCTCCTGCCTGACTGATGACAGTTGGGTGTCAATATATAATATTGTGATGACAATTTCACTTTCACCCGGCAATATTCCAGAACTACTATTCTCCAGGATTTCCATTTTAATAAGCAATGAACAAAGCAAAAAAAAAAAAAAAAAAAAAGGCGGGGGATGGAGGGAGAAAAGGAACACGAATAAAAGAGAATAAAAAAGGAAAGCAACTTTTGTCTTATTATGAAATAACAATACTTGGACATACAGCAGCATGAAAATAAAACAAGGAAAGAGGTCATCTAAAAAACGTATGCCAAGATTACAGAAAGTGGGGAATTATCTAGCAGGAAAAAGGCTTAAGCAAAAGTTTGCTAACTGCAGAAGAATTAACACTGGTAACATACTGTGGCAGACGAGTTTCTTTTTTAAAAAAAATTTTTGAGGTTTTTTTTTTTTGTTTTCCCTTTAAATTAACCCTTTCCGGTCCATATGCCACTAAGCAGGTACCAACCTAGAAAAAAAAAAAATCATCCACTCAGCAATAGTGGCCCTTTCAAATTAGCAGTGGGGGGTGGGATCAGGTTGAGAGGGGATGGAAAGGGTCTCAGGGAAAGGAAGGGCCTGGTGGGGGAGATGGGATTTCTTGTCAATTCAAGTTAGGGCAGCCACAAATGTCCCAAATCTGTTGGAAATGTCAGAATGCAGGGACCGCCAGGTGGGCACGGAGGCGCGGGCCTTGGCATCACCCACGTCGTCTGTGCAGTGGACAGACAGGCACTGCAAGTGGCTGCCAGGCTGGGTGGCTGAGGCCTTGTTCGCAGGGAGGTCATGAGCTGCAGAGAAAGAAGGAAAGAGGCAGTTAGCAGCATGACTGAATCCGTGGGAGGCCCTGATGGGGCAGCATGGCAGAGGCATCAGAAGAGAGGCAGTGTCCATGCTTGCTTTCCACGCTGAAAGGTGGCCTGAGGGGACCTAAAGATATTGCTTGGAATCTGCCTGCTGCTCCCTCTGACTTAGCTGTGAGGTCTCAGCCAGGGGTCGGGCCCTGATAATGGGTCTAAGTTTTCCTCCTTGGGAAATAAGAAAGTTGGGCAGGATAAACTCAGGGTTTGCCCTTCTCTGATAGGGTTCCCAAAAGATTCACTGGACCTGAAGCAATTTGATAAGGGTTCCTGGAAAAGGGGCATCTGAAACTGGGTGTTCAAGTATGTGTAGGAGTTTGCCAGATGCCAGGCAAACAGGGGCAGAGTGGGGGATCACCCACATCTAGAAACAATCTATTCTCTTGTCAACCTCAAGACAGATGTTTGCTAAGGGTCTACTCTTTGTTGGGAACTTCCTTAAACAGTACCAAACTTCTCTGAGTAGTAAAGACTGAGAATATGGCTTCCCATACTTTGCCCATGCCCAGCTACTATATGAAGGACTTTGGGTGACAGAGTAGAGGAATCTATTGTTCCCCCATCCCCTCAATGAAAATCTCAATTTCCTTCTCACTCCATTACAAAGTGCCAGAAATACCATAGATCACAGTAACATTTGGGTTCGATAAACTTGAAGAGAACAGTGCTTTGACAACCATTCATACCTTAGTATGAATTACTTGAAGAAGAGGGAAGTCTAAGGCAGGGAAGGAACTAAGAAATTATTTCAGAGGATTTCTAATTTTCTGCTGCCAAGTGATCATGGGTTCTGTTCTGAGACCTACTGAGGTATTGATGGGTATTCCCATTATTCCTTTTTTAGAACCCAAATCTCAGAGAAGAGGTGACCTGCCCAAGGTCACACAGCCAGGAAGGGATAGAATTGGATTTGAAGATGAGCTAAGGGTGAATTTCTGACACAGTAGAAGTGAAAAAAGCTTAAATTAGAAGGGGGGACCCAACTCCAGTTGAGGGAGCACACCCAGATACTGAACTTCATGACCTGCATGCTCTCCACAGCACAACGTACAGGCCCAGCCAGGGCCCTGTGCCAGGCAGGAGCCACCCCACCCAGCCCGCCCTCTGGGATTAAGGAGGAGGCCTCCCCCAGGAGCCGAGCCAGAGCCTGTGGAGAAAATCCTCCCAGAGGGAAGGGCCCAGGCATCGAGGCCAGGCTGTGACTAACAGGGTTTGTCAACCCCCACCCTGAGCCCCAGAGATACTCAGCTTTGGGCCAGGCATGCTGGTAGGAGGCAAGGCTAGGCAGGAAGATTCTCTCCTTTGCTCCTTCCCTCATTCAATCAATAAGCTTTGTTGAAGCCCTACTATGTGCCAGGTGTGCCTTCTATGTACCAGCCCTACAGCTACAGCAGGAAGCACGATAGACACTGTTCTTGCCCTCTTTCTGGAACTGACAGAGATGTGGTGAGGAGACAATATTAAGGCATAGTCACTTTGAAGTCACAGCGTAGGACTTGAATCCAAAGCTAGCCACACAGTAGGGCTTTCCAACTTTCCCTCTCTGTGCCTCAGTTTCTTCACTGATAAGGCAGGAGTAATACCATCTCCCTTGGAGTCTTATAACGGCCTGGCACACAGAGAGATCCCCAGATGGGGCTGCTGGGATTATCATTAATGTCTGGAGATGTTAGAAGGTGAGGAGCCTTGCTGCCATCTAGGAGCAATCAAGACTCCTCCACTCTTGGTGATGGGCCCGATGGGCATGTTCCTGCCATTGAGATTGAAGTCCCAGCCTCTTTTCACCAGGGAAAGCTGAGGTTCTGATCTTGAAGTTTCAAAGCTGTTTAGCAGTGGTGGAGCTGGGAGATTGCCATGCCACACCCAGAACTTCCTGAGGGAAGGGACCCCAGGAAGCTTGAGAATCAGAGTCAAGGGTCCCCCAGCACATATAGACCCTGGGTTCTAGCAATACTGAAGCACAGTCCACACCTCTGCCCCTGAGCACACACTTGCCTTGCTCGCAGTGACAGCCCACTGCATGATATTCCCAAAAGGAATTCACTTCCAGGCATTGCAAGATCTAAATTGGAGGAGGGGTAGATTGCCTGAACGAGACAAAGGACCCAGCCCAGCAATGTGTGTGCCCATTTTATAGGCAGGTAACTGAACCCCCTTAACCAAAGTTTCCATGGCTAAAGAAAGATAAGACCCAGCCAAGCTCCTGACACTTGGTTTCCTTGCTCGGTGGCTACAGCAGCAGGAAGGAGAATGGGAGTTGGCATTTCCTGCTCTGTGCTGAGATGCAGAAGACTTAGGGACTCTTCCAAGAGCTGGGTTTGTTGAGAGATGATTCCAGGCTGACCCAAATGGCCGAATTTTCTAAAGATGCTTTCTTCCCAAGTTACAGACAGTTCATAAGCATGCCACGTGTGAGCACCTGAGACAGCTGCTCTTCTAAACTCGGGTGGATTTAATGAGGGTGTGCCACCAAACACTTCCGAGTGTTATCTAACTCCATCCCCCCAGCCAGCCCAGCACCTGTGACTTTTCCCTACTTTAGAGGGCTCAAAGAGGGTGAGGGGCTTGTCTGAAATCACAAATCAGGGTGCAGGATTCCCCCGCCTCCACCAGGGATGATCAAGAGAGACAAGTGGTCTGGTATCCACGGGAAATATTTTTAAGAGAGAATATTTTTCTTCAGTTGACAACCCAAGCATGACCAAACTCATCCTCCCGCCGGATTCATTCCAGCTGGGGGGACCCAACATGCCCTAGGACCCAGGCTCCCGGGGTTACCGAGTGGCGGCTGCTGATAAATCAGTCCCACAGAAGCTGCCTCAAGTCAGGGCCTGTCCAAGCTCCTTAGAGGCCCTCAATCCCTGCTCCCTGTGGGGATAGGTACACCAGTCCCCCGCACTGGACCCAGAGATAAAACCTCCCCCATTCTGAGCTCCCAGGGTAGTGGAGAGACCCTGGAGTTACCGTACCTGGCACTGGCAGACACCCTGGAGCCTGTGGGAGTTGTGTTTTCACTAGTCAGCTGCCGACCACCCCGTCAGACCATGACTGCCCAGGGGAGGGGCAGGTTTGGTCTGTTCAGTGAGGGCCCCACACACAGCAGCTGCTCAGTTGGGGCCTGTGTACTGACCATGAACTGCCCCTCATCCCCATTTGACAGATGGGAAGACTGAGGCCTCCAGGGGCAGGAAGCTGCCCAGCTTTGAGGTCAGTCATCTTCTGTTGCCCAGGATCTCCAGCGGGAATCTCAGGCTGTGATTAGACCCCAGATGCCCCTACCAGGCAGGTGGCCCGATCTGCAGGAGCTGGATTTCCTCATCTGCTCAGAGCAACTTGGGAAGACCATCCAGGAGAAAGAGCTGATGACAGTGTGCATGGGCGTGCTCAGGTGAACCTCAGCCCAGGCTGAGGGGAGGGACTGGCTCAGGGGACCAGATGGCTTACCCGCCTGGCAAGGGAGGACTTTGGGGGAGTCTTTGAGGACCTATCCCTATTGGCCCTTCAGGGGCCCCCTCCTCCCCAGGCACAGGCGCAGGGTGTGGGGGGGACTCCCTTGTCCGCCTCCTCCTCTACCCCCCAAAACTCCCCCACCGCCTCTTCTGCACACATGTCCTGGCTGATCCACACCATCTCTTCCCACCACCTCTCCTCGCGCCACAGCTCTGTATTTGGCCATTTCTATCAGGGACTTTTTGTCCCACTCCCCGCGGGCCGCCTGCTGCTGGCCCTGCTGCCCACATCAGACTCCCGTGCTTCTCGGGCCACTACAGGGACAGCAAACCCCAGGGAGGAAGGAGACAAGCGCTAGCCAGTGCCAAAAAGGCGACCGCGTGAATAACTAATGTCATTCCATTTCTCTCACAGGGTTCGACGATGATAACAGCTACCATTTGTGGAGCACGAGCCTTTTGCGCACATCATTGCAGCTCTCAGAACCGCGGTTCTAGAAAATAGGGAAAATAATAGGACTGGCCGTCATGGAGGCAGTTACGAGGATTAAGTGAAATGATCCATGTAAAGTGCTTAGCACACTGCCTTGCACGGAGCGCGGGCGTGCACGCCAGGAGCACGCTGCCCAAGCTGCTGACCCGCCGGTGGGGACCCACAGGACCCCGAATACTTGGCTGAGGCTCCAATGGGGACGGCTGAGTGACCCCGCAGCAGGCCATGACTGGGGTGAAGGGCGAAGGCAAAGATGTGCATTTGTTTACCTGGGGACACAGTTAATTTCCCTTCGGGAGATGCCACCCACAGAGGGGGCCAAATTTTCTTTGTTTTTCTATAAAGTCAGCAAAACAGACCTTATCACCACCTTGTCCTGCACTGAAAATCCCCAAGACCAGATTCTAGTCCCCACGTGCTCAGGTGTCCCGAGCTCAGTGGGGCAGCTGCCAACCCCCACAGCAGCTCAAGGGCTGTCCCCTGGTTCTGGAAGCCACTCCTCTGACCTCGAGCCCTTGGGAAGGTGGTTTCTGCCTGGCCACCTCCTGTCCCTCTGGTCCATCAGGGACATGGGGGCAAAGGTCATGGGGGCCAAGGGTGGACCCTCTGGGGTGCTAATGACCTGGGTTATCAAATGGGAACCTACTTCACAGGTCACTAGGAGGATTAAGGGAGATAATGTGGGTGATCTCTTTAGCATATGACAAGCCCTCAAAACAGGGGTGTTCTTAGAAGTATCACACTGTTCTTTAACAACCCAGAGTTTTGGAGGCAGCCAGAACTAGTCCTGCCAGGTGCCAGCTTTATGCCACAGGGCAGTTTCTCCCTCTCCTTGGGTGCCAGGGGCTTACTCGCCCCACCTGCCTGCAGAGGCTGGGGGAACCTGGGGTGTGATCCCAGGCAGAGCAGAAGAATTAGAATTCCATGCGTATTTTTAACTTGAAGCTTATGTAAGGAGAAGTGTGGGCCCCAGAACACAATAGCAAATG